ATGCTTCTTTGTTTGCAAATATTACTCATTACTTTTAATGCATCTTGATTACATGTGTAATTTAAATCAGACTGAAGTATGAATCCTCTAGAAACTCTTACATATGATTTGGACTGATTACACAAATGATAAGCCCATCACAGAGTAGGACTGTTGAATAGATTTTCATGTCTTTGTAACTTTTCACCAATAGAAGCAAACACAGGAGTATGGTTAATATTATCTGAAAAGAAACATTAAAAATGACTAATTAAAATAAAAGGGGGGAATGAAGCAGACTATACTCAAGTGCTTACTTGTCTTTTTAGAAAAAAATAAGGTATTTTCTTTTTAGGTAAATAAGGCATGCACTGTGTTTTTGCCAACTGTGTTCTCTTCATAACAATTCCATGAGGTAATTTTGTAAAACATCTGATACAATTTTTTTTTTTCATGTTGTGATAAAAAATTTCAGTGAATTCATGAAAACATCTGGGGAGGAGTGTGTGGTGTGTGGTTGACAAAACCCAGTAAGGTACTTTTGAGTAAAATAATAGCATATAATAACTAAATTCAATTGTTCTTAGGTGGCACTGAGATAACTGACTAAAAAAAAAAATCTATGAATAACGGAAGTGAATGCTGCCCTATCTTAATGATCTGGCTTGCTTGAGCCCGCTGATATAGGGGGAGCTCGGCCAATCCATCCTGTTGAGTGCTGTCTTCTCTCTTTCTGGCCCTCCAGGTTGCCCAGTATGACAACATTTTCCAAAACCTGACCCCTGCTGACAATATGTCCAAGGTATGTTACATGGTGTTTCACCAAGCATGTCACATAGAGCACATAGTTGCACTTCCTCCAAGATGGACTTATTTGTTCATATGGCAGTCCACAGGATATTCATGATTCTTTGCAAACACCACAATTCAAAGGCATCCAATGATTCTTCCTTGGTCATCTGTATGCATTGTCAACACTGATACCACGTTGTTCATGGAGGCCAGCTTCTTAAGAATCTGGTCAGCAAAGAGACTGAATGGGTATAGAGAAAGGATATAGCTCTGACACACACCTTTATTGATTTCAAACCAGACAGTGTTCCCTTGCTCTGTTCAAACAACAGCTTCTTGGTCTAGCTTTCTCAGGAGCATAATTAATTGTTTTGGGATTACCATTCTTCTCAAAGTTGGCTGTAGTTTGGTATGATCCACGCAGCCTTTTTGCAAAGTCAATCAAACATCTTTCTGGAATTCTTCACTTTCAGTCATGATTTCTAGGACATCAGAAATGAAATCCTTTGTGCCATGGTCTCCTTGGAATCCAGCTGGAATTCCTGGCTGTTCCCAGTTCGTGTATTGTTCTAGTGTCAAATAATCTTTTGCCAAGACTTTACCTGCATTTATATTAATGATGATGTTCAGTAGTTTCCATATTCTGTTAGATCACCTTTTTTGGGGGGGGGGATGGGAACAAATACGGGATCTCTTCCAATCAGTGCGCCAAGTAACTGTTTTCCAAATTTATCTACTCAGACTTGCATGTCCAGGGCTACATCCATATGATGAAATACCTCAATGTGTATCCCATCAATTCCTGGGGCTTTATTTTTTTTTGCTAATGTTTTCAATACAGCTTGAATCTCTTATTCCATTCGCACTGGTTCTCGATCATTCCAGTTCTTGTAATATAATAACTCTGTGTTTCCCTTCCATCTTCTTTTGATGCTTCCTGCATCATTCAAGACTTTGCACCCAGAATCATTCAATATTGCAACTAGAGGCTTCAATGTGATTTTCAGTCCTTTCAGCCTCAGAAATGCTGTGTTCTTCCCTTTAGATTTTCTAACTCCATCATTTTACAGATCTAAGTCTAATACTTTACACTGTCTTCTCAAGCTGGCCTTTGAAACCATCTATTTAACTCTTTTATGTCAGGATTTCTCCCCTTAGTTTTGGCTTCTCTACATTTTAGTGCCAGTTTCAGAGCCTCTCCTGACCTCTATTTCGGTAGCTTTCTTTCTCCTCTATTTTCGTTTTCCTTTTGCTTTACTCATGGATGGTATCTTTGATGCTATCCCACAACTAATCTATTTTTCGATCATTTCTGTTCAATGCATCAAATCTATTCTTAAGAGGCTTTTAAGATTCAGGTGGGATAGACTCAGGGTCGTTATTTTGGTTCTTATGCAGTTGTTTTCATTTTCTTCAGCTTCAACATTCACTTGCCCAGGAGCGACTGATATCACTAGTCAGTCACTGGCTTTGTTTTGACTGGTTGTATTGACTTTTTTCCACAGAAGTTGTCAATCTGATTCCATCACGTAAGGTCCGTGTATACAGTTGCTATTTATGTTTTTTTAAAAAACAGTTATTTGCAATGAATTCTACAAAACTGTGCACTGACTGGGGAAAATTCAATCATGAGCTTCTAGCCTCATTCTTGTCACCAAGTCTGTATTTTCTAAAGATGAGTCCGTCTCAGTTTCCTGTTCCAGTCACCTATTATTGTTAATGAATCATGATTGCATGTTCACTCAATTTCATACTGCAAAAGTTGGTAAAAGTCCTCAATGCTTTAGCAGCTGGTGAGAATATTTTATTAACGATTGTATTAAGAGGCCTTCTTTGTATAAATATGGATTCTATCACTTACAGCACAGTACTTCTAGTTAGATCTCTTTTTTGGCTTTATAAAAATTGATATTTTTCTTTCTTTTTTAAATTTTAATGAAAGTTGTCAGAGACTTTGGATTTCCATTCATTCACTGTTGCACACTTTCCTCCCTGCCCACCCCTCCCTCCAGTTCACTTTTCTCTTTGAAAAGAAAAAATTCTTTGTTATACAATTCCCCCCGGTCCACCCCACTATGCAGCGTTCATTCTGAACTCTTGTCATGACAATAAT